GTTGTTGGGATCAAATGGGTTGTCCCTGGGAAGGTATGTGTCTTTTGCCATGTCTGTAAGGGGGCATGAGGTTTTATAAGAGACGGGGATGAGGGACGGGTTTCCACTGCTTGCTTCGACCTCTCCGCTGAACTAGGGTTTCTCTTGGCGGACTCACGGGCCGGTCACTGCCCTGTCGACTCTCGGTCAGCTTAATCTCTCGCGAGGGTGTCACCTATCAACTTTGTACAAGGCAAAGATGTCGTACATATGAAGATCTCTCTCCAACCATTGCTCTCACAACACAAATTCGTCTAAGACCTATGAAAGGGAGCTTCCTCCTCAAGTGGTCACTGGATGCAGCTGTCCAGCAGCTGGTGAGTTTCACTCGCCTCTTGCACTGTATTACTATAACTTCATGTCTGTACAAGAAATCTTTCTAAGTCATCTGGAATCTGTATACTAACCTTGTTCCATGCCTTTTTGTTTGAATCTAGTCCTCTTGACAGGGCGTCTGCGGCGTTATCTGCCGACTTAACCCGTTTTGCCACAATCGAGCTGTTATGCCAAAGTATGTCTTGTTGGATTATTTTCCACTCACGGTTCACTAGCGGATCTCTCGATTTCCCATTATTCACCGCCCCTTCCGATACCGTATTGTCCGTCAAAGCCAGGTATGTGTTTCCATCCACGTTTCTTAGCTTCTTCACCATTAACCAGCCCATTCTGATTGCTACTGTTTCTGCCCAGGCTATCCCTCTTCTTGTACCATCCTCCTCAACTTCGTCCCAGCCACGGCGTAACCTAAACCTCGACCAACACTTCTCCACGATGATTCCTAGGCCATACAACGTTGAAGTGTCTCCGACCCAACCAATCGTTTGTGTTTCCGGTTTTGGGATTACTTGGAGGGGGCTTGCCGTTCGGAGAGTTTCTGTCCAAATGTGTAATTCTTCTTTTACTTCATCTGAGACGTCTCGTAGCGCGTACTTATGCTTTCACTGTTGTAGCATCCTGTAGATCGCTGCACAGTACACCTTCATCTGTGGAAACACATATGCTGCGTGTTGCAACCTCCCTACCAGCTTCTCCGTTTCTTTAAAGGATTGTTGGGCTTCTTTTAAATACTCCTCGATCTGACTGATTCGGAGTTTAATTTTCTCTTCTGGTAAGCGCACGGTTTTGTTTTCACCATCCCATACAAAGCCTAAATACTTCTGAACAAAGCTGAATTCCTTCCATTTCTCTTCATTAGTTGCAACGCCCATCTTTTTGCTCATTTCTACGATATCAATCATTCTCCCCGCGTTGTCATCTTCTACGGGTTTAACAAATAAGGTGTCGTCTACCCAACGGAACCCTGCTAACATTTTGAATTTCTCTACCATGATCTCTTTCCACGTCTCTGCTGCCCATCCGAAGGTACCGCATCCTGCCACACCGCCAAACTGGACTCTGGTGTCAAGTAGTACCTCGTTGTTGAAATCTAATACCATCAAAAACCTCCACTGATCCATCACTACCGGTATCTGCCGGTACGCTTCGGCCCAATCGAATATCCCGAGTAACAGCTTACCCTTGTAGGATATAAAGAAGTACGCCACGTGTTTGAAATCATCCCACGAAATGGCAAACTCTTCTTTGTCGACATTTTCGTTTACAGACTTGATGTTTCTGATGTGCCTTGGGTAAGAGAGGTCACTGATGGGCCGGAAGGACCCATCATCATTCACCACGGCGCCTAACGGGTTTGTTCTGAAAAACCCAACCTTGCGATAGACTTCCTCCTGAGACCATGGGCCATACATCCTACCCGCCATCAGCTCCTTCTTAAAGTTTTCTTCTATTTTACTTTGTGCCTGTCTTGCTGATGCATGATTTGGAGGGCAATAGTACCTCATCGACAGTATCATAGCATTTGTAATCCCTTGTGAAAAACCTGTCTCAAACATTCGCAAAATATGTTTATGCTTTTGGTACAGTCCTAGGTTCTTCAACTCCGCTTCCCATACATGTAGGTTCATTTCGTACGACGATGAATCTGGCCATTGTGTTACATCTTCTCCTCTACAATTGATGGTAGTACCCATCTTTGACCTTTTGTCCTGTCTTCACATTGACAACACATCAATCAAGTAGGGCGTCAGGACAATGAGTACATTCATACGGGACGATCTTCAAGGGCAAGAGTGGGAGGTAGAGTTTCAATAGCAGAAAGGAAGGATGGTTCATTGCAGAAAGGAAGGATGTTTCACAGGGCTCGGCCAAAAACGGTGTGTGGGCTCCGTTTTGTGCAACCATGGCATGGACAACATTTCCATAAAGGTATGCATTTCATTTTTCCGTCATCTCGTTTATGGACTTTGGCTTACGATCTTTTCCATCTCCCGTCATTTCCTCCTTTCTTATCAAACCTCCTCTCGGGGCTCCTGCTACGGTCTTTCTTCCTATCTCCTCCCCATCGTGGTCCTTGTGCGTCCCGGTCTATTGGTCCACGCGCGTCTCGGTCCAGGTCTCTTCCCCGAGTCTGACCTCCTCAATGCTTTCTGTTACCACCATTTCCTCTATACAAACTTCCACTTGCGTGCCTATTCACCGTGTTGTTGTTGAAGTTGCTGTAGCTGGTACTAGGGTTGCTTGAGCTCGCAATACGTTTCGAAGAGGAGTGCTTGACTTGATTTGTGTAAGGGCATATATTTGCTTTCGGACCGTTTTCAGCGTAGGGATTGGTTTTGTAATGTCTTTCATTAAAACTCTCCGCCTTAGTCTTTGCTTGAGCAAAAAAATGATCTTGTAGTTCAGACCAATTTCCCATAGAACTGTCTCTGGTTTCTCGCACCACGCCTTGTCGAACCAATCTACAATACCTCAACGCCACCATCCACCTGAAATCTTTATGTAGTTGTTTCACTATCACCATATGACTTTCAAACCTGTCGGCGACTGGTCCCCAGTCTTGATCTCATAAGTGAACGCACATTAACTCCATGCAATTACTCCATGCCTTGAAATCCATGGTAAGTTCCTCTTTCGGGCCTTCTCCTCCGTACAAACGCTTCTCCTTTTCCGCTTTGTCCTCTGATTTCGGTGGTAATAACGACCATGCCATTTGGTCTTTTATCAAGAACTCTTTGTCAAAAACTGGTAGCGGTATGAAGGACTTCAGGCCTTTCAGTTTTAAGGTTAAATGCGGAGACAGGGGAGTGATTGCGTCTCCCATTTTTGCTGGACCTGATCTGAAAACTCGTCCGTTGTGGATGATGTCTCCATTCAACAAGGTAAGAGAACCCTTCTTTGACGCCATCAGAGCTTTAGCTTTCACTGACTCTTCCTGATCTCTGCAACCATGAAACAGTTCATTTTTGCCTATCGTCTCTTGAGTTTTATCGACTACTGGGGGTTGCAGTTGAGTTTCCCGGACGAAAGTAACGCTTGGGGCTGCTGGAGGCTGTTTTGTTACCAAAATTGACTGGACGTTTGCGTCTTCATCTGAGGATCGAGATGACTCTTCTTCGATAACATAAGGGTCATTCGGGCTGTCTTCTCCTGCCTCACAATTCAACCTTTTCGTCAGGCGCCTTGCGCCTTCTTCATCATCTCGGCCGTAGGCTTCTTGTATGAGCTCCACCAGGGTCTCCCTTCTGGCTTCTACAAGTTTAAACGAATCGAGAAAACATCCGCCATTAGTTTCCGATATTATCATCTTTGCTCGATGGTTTCAACTCTGTGCATCCTTCTTGCATCGTACTGTAAGCCCGAGCTGGCTGGGTCCTATTTTAAGCCGGACCAGGCTGGGTATCTACTGTAAGCCGATCCAGGCTGGGTATCTATTCTAAGCCAATCCAGGCTGGGCCTCACTTGAGGTTGGACCACGCTTCCAACAAACTTCGATTGACTAATAGGAAATAGATGTTGAAATATAGGATTTATATCAGTGAGTGATTCTTACCTCTTTTTATTTGCTCTCCGATTTGGTCTAAATCCAACTGATCATTGCTATCTTCTTCCAATCTTTCTCCTTCATTCTCCCGTATTCCACCCCATTCTTCATCTTCTTCTGCTATTGCCTGGTTTCTTCTCGGTACATGTGAACGTTCTTCTTCGTTGTCTTGATCTTCTAATCTAATCTCTCCTTGTCTTTCTTGTCTTCTACCACCGTTTCTTCTTGGTGTTACTAATCTTTCTTCTAATTGTGCGCCTGTTGCCGCTGCTTCCGCCCTAGTTAACCTTCTTTGCAAGTTGTTGCTCGCCCTATTGATTTGATTTCTTAATGCCATTGTAATTTATTGTTGTTGTTTATCTTGAAAGTTTTAATTTAAAAAGGTTTTAGAGCTAGAGCAGATGAGCAGAGACTGAAACGGGGGTGAAGTGAAAGAATCAAGGGTGAAAGTGTATAGAGGAAGTGCTGAAGTGGAAATCTCTATAAGTGAGATTTCAAATTCTCACTTCCCTGGATCTGTACAATCTTACCTTTCACATACTCGCCTGTGATCTTTCACTAGAATGGACTATGTCACCACATCGTGCCTTGTGGTGCCTTCAAAGAAAAAAAAATCCACCTAAAGTTTTAACCTTCTCTTTATCATCGAAAGCATGAAATTTTTCCATCCACACGTTGAAGTTTAAAATTGGGCTTCCATAAATCCATAAATCTTCCTGTCGCTGTTTCTTTTAAGGCCTGAAAACCCACTAATAGCCTTGATTATATAGTTGAATGCACCACTATACTTTTCTCCTGTTATCTCGTTCTTCATAATAAACATTTTGAGGATATCTTTTTGACTTTCATCTCGCAAAAACTTAACATCAGGCTTTATGTCATCATCAGCAGCTCGGGAAATCAAGAAGTCACCCAGTGGCCGAAGGCTGCGAAGTTCGGTAAAAAATGTGGTATCAGAGTCTTCTGAGAAGAAAACTGTTACCCAGAAGAAACAGAAGAGAAAATTGAGATATGAATCGGAGGGTAAGAAATGATATGTTCATTTTCAATATATATGCTGTGTTTTCATCCTATCTAACACATGGAACATTTAGAATTGGACAACGATGATGTTGAAGAACATGGAGTTTCAGTGAATATAAACACCTCTCGGGAACGCCTTCTTAAACTCCTTTCAAAGAAGGTGAAGAAGAGAAGAACTCGGAGTACTTCAAAAAACTTGCATCAACAATCAGAGATGCAAAATGATTGCGATGACACGTCTTTGGTGGTTCACAAGGATAAAGAGCCTTCGACTAATTTTTCTGTATACAAAGACAGCGAGCTGGTCTCAATGCTACGTACGGTTGGATTAGATACCAGAGGATTTAGCAGGGAAGTACTAATCCAGAACTGTAAGAGTTACCACGAATTAAGTGAGTGGAAGTTGTTTTCGTTGTGAAGATTGTTTGGAGCAAGCACTGATGAGCTCTCTCATTCAGTAATACCACCCTCTCCCCCAGACTTAGATGACGATCAAGCTATGTCATGCCCAATTAGTAGTGTAATAGATTCAACTATCCTCCCCGCCTTCACCTTTGAGGTACCTATGTATTCAAACAGGTTTGCAGACCAAAGTAAGGCCTTGGGATCCGCTTTGGAAGCTAGACGTTGTCCCTTGATATACACTGATTAATGAATAATTGTTTTCTGATGGTAATCCACTGTGGATGACATGATAACAGCTTCATCGACGTCTAACTTGCCTAGCCTTGAACATGGTAGATTTTCTTACCCGCGGCCTCGTCCAACTACCAACTTAGTTCCATCCAAGAAGAACAAGGGAAAAGCAAAAGAAAAATCACCTCCAGTTTCCGAAAGCGAATACCAGCCCAGCGATACTGAAACTATTGAGACGAATAAAGGACCTCAGAGAATATACATGGATTCTGGTGTGAAGGTAGGTGGGGAAGGTGGTCGCGCCTCAGGAAGTGCCATGAAGGGCACAGAACAATCGTGTTCTCAAGATCCAAACAAAGAGGCAAAGAATTGCAATGCTGAGTAAGTGTCTGATTATTAAGACGACTCAGAAAAGAACTAACCTCAAGTGACTTTGTCGTGACAAATTACTTTGCTACAGAGACCAAAATTCGCGGCCATTGGAGGACAAAGACCGAAAACTTCTTCATGAATTGAAGCAGCAGGTTGACTCCTTGACCCACGAGGTTGTTACTCTTAATCAAATTATCAAGCAACATCTGAATAACAAGTTGGAGGGTGATAGTAAGAAGAAAACAAAAGGTGGCCGTACATCTGTGTGTTATATTTCTATCTCTTCCAATCAATATGATAACAAAAAGACATTGATTGTATTATTTTCGAAAACTGTATAGGCACATATCCGATTCCATATTGACACCCTTCTTGGGCGACGTTCAAATGATGAGGTCCTTCCTGCGCCAGCTAGTGCTACTGACAAGGAAAAATGGGGCTACGACATAGACATGGATAAACTAGTTTATGATCCGAATGCCTTGCCACTTGCTACAGATTCCGCTGATCCTTGCTTTCCATATGAAGATGGTCCAGGTCATGAAGATTCTTCTCCTCAGCAACTCGCAATCATGTGGCAGTTGATGACTATGGCAGGCGTTTCTAGTTTTCGTCCAGACTTCAGTCTATCGGCAACTTCATGTGAAAATAAATGGCTCTGGGATTTGGCGTTGAAGATATTCGTAGTGCTTGTTGAATGCGGGGAGTATCAAGGGGTTTCTTTGGATGCTGAAAACCAACAGTTCATAAAAAAATGTTTAAATACTCATGTCCAATCTCTTGCAAAAACGTACGCACCTCCCATTCCTCTTTCTCAGAATCATCATTAATGTAAATGTTATCTGTGGGACCTGTAGATATCGCCAGCAAGTTTCCTGGAGTCCCGAGCGCAAGCAATTAGCTGCAGCCGAGATCAGAAGAGGATCAAGAATGCGGCACGTGAGCATTTCCTACTTGCTTCCATCATGTGTTACACGCTACTAACAGACTCTGAAACTCTTGAAGCTTGTTGAGCGCCGAAGCAAATTCCTCTTGAAGGAGGAAATCTGGCCTCTCTTGGCCATTGTCAAACAGACCACCAGTGATGATGAAACCGACGTAGAGGCTGCGGCAGAAAATATCAGCAATCGAAATGGATTACCATGCCGTGTTAGAAAAGTTCTTTGGCGTAGCTCACTACTGTCAGATATCTGGGAGTTAGTTGATAAATGTATAGAAAAGATCGACAAAAGTAAACCTGGTCAGAGTTCACCTCGTGGTCGACAGAGACGTCCAAGAACCCGCATCAACAATGGGCCTCGAAGCCGGGTTGAAGCAGCTTCAGGTTTACCAAACGACTGTCTTGACCGGTCATGGCTGGAAAATTTGAGTCCAGCAACAAAGGCGGGACTTGAGATAAGCACAAAGCCAATACTAGCTGGCTTGAAAGAGCGTTTGCAAAACTTGGAGGCTTGAGAATTCTCGCTCAACCAAAGATTGACATTTTTTTTATCATTCTGCCACTTTTAAAACTTATAAATCACACTGTTTTCCGTTTTCTCAATAAATTTATATGGCTCTTATTGGTATTTTTGTCAAATTTTGTTCACTGCTTCCGGCAAGCTTTATTGCAATTTTTGAACTACTCATAGGATACAAAGGTATTTACTGCTGTTCTATGAAGTATAATTTTGTAGTTTTTACTACTTATCTGTCCATGTAAATCAAGCCAACTGTAGGTATGGAAATCTTAGGGTGTAACTGCCCTGCCTTATACATCAGCCAGCTACAGTGTCCTAAAATTTGTTCCTTTTTGATGAGGTGATCTTTTGTTGGTCCCCAACCTCGAAGATATGCTTGTAAATCTGGCTCATGCGTGTTTTCATAAGGATCATAGTTTCTGAGTTGTTTTGGGAGTTTTGGAAAATGATTGATGTGTATCCATGTATCTAAAATGTTATCCTGGTTTTTGTAAGTTCGGCGGTGGGTGAAAATGGAGAAAATTCGTCCAAAATGAATTCTTTCATCTTCACGAAGCCTAAATGCAATGAAACTATCATTTTGGTTTGCTGTGAACGATGAGTAAGATACATCTTTATATGAAATGCGCTTGTAAACAAATCCTCGAGGTGAAACCGGTGACACATTTTTCTTTTGATAGTCTGGAAGTACACACCACTTCTCTGGAATCATCCATTTGTTTTCTCCTTGTTCTTGATCATTCAAAACCTTCACTAGCATCATTAGAACATCATTTTCGATTGGAAGTGTGTTAGAATTTGACAAATCTTTAGAAGCGGGCTCCGCAGCTTCGTAGAGGGATTGCATTCGTGGAATATAAGGTTTCAGTGCCTTGGGTATCCTTTGATCTTTAAGTAGAGCGGACAAGTTTCCGGCACGACAATAATTCTTGAGAAACGTGATCTCCAACTCGCCTGGAAGAAGTGAGATGTTTGTTGATCAGCATAAGACAACAAGATCTTATGGTACATCTGAAATCCATACGCTTACCTGGGTGATTATTATGGCATCCCTTCAGAGATATTTCCCATCAATCTCTCAAAAGGAAA